TTGGCCACCGTAAAGAGTTTAAAAGCTGACGTTTCGAGCGTTAGCCTTTCGTCAAAGCTGTCATACTCTCCCACCGACGCAGCAACAAAGTTTCTTTAGAAACTTACCCCCTTTATTCATTTGTATATACGATAATTCACCGTGTACTGCAGCTTTTGTCGACAAGATGAAAACTGCGTCACACTGGATTAGCCCTTCGCTCTCCCCATCGTATACTGATACAAACCAAGACGAATGCAGCTGTTGAGTAAAGCTCTTCCCGCACAACTATAAGAAAATTTCTCAGTCATCAGTGAAAGTGCTATCCTTTACGAACATGTTGATACTCTGATCGTACATGTAATTATTTGCACTCATTGAGTGGATAACTTGTATAAAAACAGTAATAACATCTTGAGTTATTACCTTTTATCCTTTGTTTCTTTCGAACTTAATTTATTTTCATTCTTCTTCTTCTGGTGCTTCTTCCGGTTTGCAAACTTCGAGTGATATTTTCACATAACAACTACTATTAGACCAGCACTATGTCTGATACTTTTTTGAATTAATTTTTTTTAATTCTCATTCAGTTCCCTCTTGTATGACATACATAAACTGTGTGCAGTTCTCATTAGCATTTTTTCATGAAGTTCTTACTCTCCCGTTCACGCAATCAATAGCATCTAGACAATTCGTATTCGCTAAAATCTACGGACATTACACGTAGCAAGAGTGTTAAGTTTTATCTTGTGGCTGCATACCGTGGCCGATTTTGTTTCGGTGGACCCTGGAAAATCGTTCTGTGTTTGCTTAAGACTGCTCAAAGTAACTCAGTTAGGGGAATCTTGTTATAATCACCGAAAATATATAACAAAAAAGACATCGTGTTAATAACACCTGAAAAAAAATTGATGGGAACGAAATATTTACTGACACGAGGAAGACGTGTTTCGCAACTCAGTGACGCCATTTCAGTATTCAGTTTTTTTCAATTTTGAACTATTTCAGTCTCTGATTTCTGTGTAGACAGACAATTTATTTGGGGTAAAAACGAGATTTCAGAAAACGCAAAAGCTTTCATGATTTCCACCTACTTGAATACGTAGCTCTTGTAAGCTAGCCATACAACAAAAAGGAAAAATAGATACGAACTGATAGGAAACTTGTAACGCAATTGATACATATTTAAATTTTTCTTCTCTTTTTTTTTT